GTTCGAGACCGGCCTGGCCAACATGGTGAAACCCCGTCTGTACTGAAAATACAAAAATTAGCCGAGGGTAGTGGCGCTGGAACCCCAACTACTTGGGTTGGGGGGCGGGGGGCGGGTGAGGAAGGAGAATCCGGGAGGCGGAGGATGCAGTGAGCCGAGATCGCGCCACTAAACTCCACTACACTCTATCAAAAAATAAAATAAATTTAAGATCCTACAGTTAAACCTACTGTTTTGCACTGAATCGTGTCGGTTTTTAAAGTCAAGGCTTCATTGATCTATTGTTTTCTGTCTTTTAATCAAATCAAAACGTTGACTTTAAATGTTGACATCAAATTGAGGCTTTGGTAAAATTTATAGGGTTGGCACGGCTTAAGGGGAATCTTTAAAACTCGCTAATCTTTCAGAGTCCTCGGTGTTGAATGCATTGATCTATATAGATATAGATATAGATATAGATATAGATAGATAGATAGACGTCTACCACTGTTAAGTATATAGGATTTTTGTAAACAATACCTTAATTATCTGGCACACACAGGCACTGATTATATTACAAGGTTTTCTTTCTTTCTTTTCTTTTTTTTTTTTTTTTTTGAGACGTACTTTCATTCTTGTTCCCCAGGCTGGAGTGCAATGGCGCGATCTCGGCTCACCGCAACCTCCGCCTCCTGGGTTCAGGCAATTCTCCTGCCTCAGCCTCCTGAGTAGCTGGGATTACAGGCACGCGCCACCATGCCCAGCTAGTTTTATTATATTTTTAGTAGAGACGGGGTTTCACCATGTTGACCAGGATGGTCTCGATCTCTTAACCTCGTGATCCACCCGCCTCGGCCTCCCAAAGTGCTGGGATTACAGGCGTGAGCCACCGCGCCTGGCCTTATTACAAGGTTTTCTTAGGTTTTGGCAGTTATCAAATTGTAAGTGATACAAAGTATTTGTTTTCAATTCCCCAAGAAATCAATCTATATTATGCTCCTACCTCCCTTTCCTCCATTTTCTTTACCACTTCCGTGATCTTGCCAAGTTATATTCTGCTGAGCAATTTGAAAATCCTTTCTGATATAAGGTAAGGATATAAACGAAATGATCAGCTGGCAAACGATGCCAGTCAGTAAGTAGTTCATTAAACAGCAGGCTTACAATGTTGGGTGTACTATAATTTCTATTTTAAGAACTGTTTCCAGTTTATAATAACCTATGCTACATTTTGACTTTGATTGTTTTGAATTGATGACAAGTCTATTAACCAAATATTTCAAGATGAAGTGTATCCTGGAAAAGGATCAGGAAGAAAATATATAAAACAAACTAAAAGAAATTAACACAAACCAAGAAACAATAACCAACTTTTATAAGGGCATTTTTTACGGAGGTGGTGTTCAATAAAACTGCCTTAGCTTATAATTACTTTAAGAGAGGTTTACATTCAATCAAATTGAGTCTGAACCAGATCATTTTAAGTTTTCAAAGCTTCCATTGCTTTAATTGCATGTAAGACATGCTATCTTCATGTATTTTACTATTTCCTATTTTTACTATTAAAGTGACCACAGATGTTAGAGTTTTTTTTTTTGTTTTTTTTTTTTTAACCTTCACCAGAGCTGATTGCTCAGACAGCATGACAGTAATACAGTAAATGTTTTCCTGGTGGAAACTATGCATTGTAATTTAATGGTTTTTGCAAATCATGAACATGTAAAATATTAAAGGAATACTCATTCTCATTAAAGGGAAATTTTTGTCATTAAATTGGACATGAAGGATCCTTTCAGATCAATTTCAATTCAGCAATTTTCCTTTTGTATTCACCAATGATTTTTGTTCATATTGCTTCTCTTCAGAAATGGTGCAAAACAGAAAGGAAACTAGACTCAGGGCCAGGTGCAGGGCTCACACCAGTAATCCCAGCACTTTGGGAGGCTGAGGCGAGTGGACCACCTGAGGTCAGGGGTTTGAGACCAGCCTGGCCAACATGGCGAAACTGCATCTCTACTAAGTTACAAAAATTAGCCGGGTGTGGTGGCGCACGCCTGTATTCCCAGTTACTTGGGAGGCTGAGGCAGGAGAATCGCTCACACCCAGCAGGTGGAGGTTGTAGTGAGTCCCGATCACGCCACTGCACTCCAGCCTGGGTGACAGAGGGCGTCTCCCGTTTCAAAATAACAAAAACAAACCACACTAGACTCAGTTCTTCTTAACAACAAACAAATTACCTGTAATTACAAAAACAGATTTAGGTGTTTGTTTTTCTTCCATTGATTGAGTGCTTTATCACAGTTACTCAAATTATCCTAAGCATGTTGCAAAGGATATTCTTTAGATTTCTAGTCCTATAAGGTAATTTGAGAAAAGACTGTATTAAATAAAATAAGGAAAATCTGATTAGATTCTTCCGAGTTTCACGATAGGCATTCATGTATTAAAGCCTTCAACTTAATGCACTAAAGAAACCTGTTTTATTTCTCAAAACTTATTTAACAGCAATTATTTTTTTAAAACTACTAAGGCATGAAACTCACTTTGGGAATCAGTGTTAGGATTTTTTCATTGTTGTAGAAAAACAGGTGTATATTCGGCAGAAAATAAAATCGTTGTAGTTTGAATAGCCCCTTGCAAAATTCAAGTGTTACCAATGGGCCAGTATGAAGAGGTGGGGCCTTTAAGAGGTGATTAGGCCAAGAGAATTCCTCCCTTATGAATGAAAATAGGTCCCATTACGAACGGGCTTGAAGGAGGGAGTTGATTGCTTCCTGCCAGCATCTGGTGACAGCTTTCTTGCCTCTTCCACATGATGGAAGGTGAAGGGCGGCCTCCAGAAATGTGAGAAGTAAGTTTCTGTTCTTCAATCTCAGGTACTCTAACAGCACAGACTAAGATGGTTGATTTAAATAGAACAGACTAAGATAGTGGACATAAATAGATCCATTTTTCTCATTTAAAACAAAATATAGTAAGTAATAGGGTGAACTCTGCCCCAATATCCCTAGAGTGGCTGTGGTTAGTGTTATCACGCTGTTATCAGTAGGAAGATATTACACTACGTATTTAAAAGCAATTCACCATTAGGTATCTGACTTAGTGTTAGGATACATTTATCTAATGAAATGTGTTTTCAGAAATAATCTTTAAATACAATGAAATTCATTGAGCATCTACTACTATATTTTTTTTTTTTTTTTTTTTTTTTTTTGAGACGGAGTTTCGCCCTTGTTACCCAGGCTGGAGTGCAATGGCGCGATCTCGGCTCACCGCAACCTCCGCCTCCTGGGTTCAGGCAATTCTCCTGCCTCAGCCTCCTGAGTAGCTGGGATTACAGGCACGAGCCACCATGCCCAGCTAATTTTTTGTATTTTTAGTAGAGACGGGGTTTCACCATGTTGACCAGGATGCTCTCGATCTCTTTACCTCGTGATCCACTCGCCTCGGCCTCCCAAAGTGCTGGGATTACAGGCTTGAGCCACCGCGCCCGGCCTACTACATTTTATCACTGTTTTAAATGTTTTTCTTTGGGAAGAACACTCATGAGCTCATGATATGGACAACAGACCTGTGGAAATTAATGTAAGCCCTAAGTAACTTAGTAAGAATTGAATCTACATCTGCCTCTGCCTTGCACTCTAACAGTTCAAGTAGCTTTACCAGGTCAGTCCTCAGAAATAATCATAACTTCCAGGGCAGTGCAGTTATAAACAGGTGTGCAAATAAGAAGTTCCAGTACTCAACACATCTTGGGCTTACTTAAAGGAGTATTTGAAGTCTAAGACAGTAAAGTAGGCAGAGGTGAACATTATCAAAACAGAAGAAAACTGCTCACTACTATGGGAATAGAAATGTTTACCATATCCTATTTGTTTCAGTTTGTTCTGGGTAACCTCAATGACTTATCTCAGTTCACTCTCATGCTAAATATTAAGAATAATTTACAAGGACACTGTGTAGGAGGTTGAATTACGTGCCAGAACTGAGACAGAATGCTGCCAGAGGTGCTGTGTAGAATTTCCCAGCAGAAGATTCTTTGATTAATTTCACCAAATATGCCATTTCCACTTAGTTTTAAAAGAAAGTCAAACTAAACTGCCATTTGAGATTACATAGAATGCACAAGACCCAATCTGGGATCCTATGTTTAACAAACAAAACTGTTCCATAATCTAATCGGCATGTCAAAGGAGTCACTTATAAGCCACTCAATATAAACCGACTGTATTTTTGGAGAGCACCATTAAAGATGTCTTTTTTTAAGTTATAGATTTTTATATATTTGGGACCTTTGAAATCATCTGTGGCTCTCAAATGACAAATGATTAGCCTGTGTGTATGGCCCCACACCTGGAAATGAAAGAAAAACAAAAATTCAAACTACACTCTAATTGATTTTCTGAAATAACTTTTCTTTATCCACCTTTGGAGTGGAATAAATCTCAATATAACCTAAAAAACAACATTACAAATCAAAGAATATTCAAAGCAAATTCAGGTTAAAAATGAACATTTAAAAAATGTATTTTCTTTAAAAATTAACTTTTCACTTCATATGTTTACAAGATTTAACACTGGACAAAGGGTGGGTCTGTCTAGTACACATTAAGATGGTTAATTCTCCACTTCCCCAAAAGGCCAAAAACAATGACTCAAACTGCTAAAAGTATTTACTAAATATGTGCCAAATCTAAAGATTTAACTAATAACTGTGGAACTGTTTGTAAGACTGTGGGCTGATATAAATATTATAAAATATAGATAAAATTTTCTTATTTTTAATACTAGATGTTCTGTGAGTGCCAGGAGTTCGCCCAGAAGGTAGTGAAAATCTTGATTTTTATCTGTACAGATGTCTTCATTTTTTTTTTGAATTTAAAATTATTTTAGAACTATGTAACGTCCCCAGTGTCAATTGTCCTAGAATGGTAAACAAACTAGCACCATTTCAATGAGTGTCATAAAAGAGTCTAGCTAAATACCCATGAACAAATCACACATGGTCAAAACAAAAATGTAATAAAAATATTTAGTGAAAAGACACATTTTTAACTCCCATTTATGAACTTTAAAAATACAAATAAAATTTTATCAACTTGATACTCAGCCTGTAACTGGCTCAATACATAGCCTTATTTCCTAAAATCATATTGTAGCATCTTCTGAAAAACTAAATGCAACTTTATACCTTCATTAGTTATGTTAATAGAGGTAAATATTTAAACAGTACACTCATCCCTGGGTCTTTAAAAAAAACTGAAGTCTTAGTGTAAGTTTAAAACTTTAATATTTATAAATTTAAAAAATTGTACACGTGCTGAGTGGTAGCAGTGCTAACATTTTTGTGACCATTAAACCACAAACTCACTGCATAGAACTTCTTTCTTTGTACAGAGAATCAAATCACAATACCAACATTTGCAATTTGAAATAATTTTATGTGGTAAAAGACACCACACCCGGAAGCCTGGGCTCAGAAAACACTTGAGGTCAGATCCCCAGTAGGTACATAGTGCAGATGCAGTAATTTCAGGCTAGGAAAATTAGCTACTAGTAGGTATCTGACAGTTCCTAATAGCTAAGAAGAGGCCTAAGAATGCAGACTGGGGGAAAATAAAACAAAACAAAACAAAACAAAACACAAAACACCTCTCCAACTGCTGGGAGGGCCTGGGAATAGGTGAAGAGCAAACCACAGTGAGAGAGGAGGGTAAAGATGTGAGTCTCAAGCGGGTGATGGGCAAACTGAACCTCCTAATTCCTAGGAGGGAATCCCCACAGCTGACTTCAGCGTTCCGGTCTTCACTAAGACTTACCCACAGAGCACTACAGCAGGAAACTGATTTCTTCATCCATCCTCTTTCATAAGAATGAATGCCCAATATTAAACTTCTAGTTTTATTTGAACCAAACATATTATTTGGCTAACTGTGTCATGGGTTTTCATTATAATCAATCAGGCCTGCTTCACATTTTTTAGATCGAAATGAAAATATGCTTAAAGTTCAACTGGACCCACGGCACTTCAAATCAATTTGAGCTGAGCAATATGCCTAATTTGGACAGTTTAATTTTAGAAAATCAATTTTTAAAAATTATTAAATGCAGTGTTTTCAGAATATAGTTACCAAGTCAGAGAATATCCACTTACATTTAAAAATAATTTAAAACATTATATCCTCAAATCAACTATGTTGTTTTGTGGGAAAACTTAGAGAAAATTATAATGTTAAACTTCATATCCAAATTAGTTCCTTATTCTCTGGTTTAAAAACAAAACAAAACAAAACAAAACAAAACCCTAAGAAGTACTAAGGTTCCTTCTGACTTTAATATTTTATTCAGGAACCAGTGACAATAATTCCTCATCAAAGACAGCTAACTTAGTACGGTCTATTGACAACCATCTCTAACAACAGAGATGGCAAACAGATAAAAATTCTAACAGAAAAAAATATCATTTCAGGGTTCAGAATGATGCTGATTACTAGGAGACTCAAACTTGTAATCCTTGAAGCTTATAGCTAGAGTTCCCTTCAATACTTGAGGGGTTCATAGAAGTAGTAACAGAAATGGGAAACATGGTGATTTACAACTATAAAGACCTGACATTTTTGGTAAAAGAGAAAGTTCAAAGACAGTTAAGGGGAGGGTTAAATAATGCTGACTGGGGGGAAATTATATAGACACTTGCTTTTGAAATGGAAATTGTGGAAAAGTAGTAGTAACCATCTCATCTAACAATGTAATGTAATATAATTACACAGTTTACAATGAAATAAGACTAAATTCTTAAAATTAGTTTGAAAAAAACCTGCAGTTTGTTTACATTAATTGTCACACTTGACACCAGACAAAAACTCGGCGCAGCTGTCTTCCAACAGCGACGGCCAGCCGGAACGACCCAAACGACAGTGTTGGAAAGGACGCTGTCAAATACTGTCAAGTAGTTTTGCTTCGGAGGCAGCCACCCATCCAGCCCAAGGACCATAAAAGCAAATCAATCTTTTTAACAGAACAAAAACACAGTTACAGGTGCTACTACATTATCAGACTGTGGACGTCCAAAGTCTTTATAGGGATTGTGCCTTGGAGAACAAATGGGTCAAGGAAAGTAAGAAATAGACAAAGAATGTCTGGGAAACTGGAGGTTAAAGGACACTACGTCAACAACAGAAATCTTATAAAACAAAAATTTAAAAATGAAATACTTGACAGTGTCCCTTTAACATATGTAAAAGAGGGCACAAATAATGTTTTTGTTTTCAAAAATGTTTTAACAACTTAACAGTCAGTTTTAATAGAAAAAAAAAAATCAACTGATTAGAATTAAGCCAGTGTTCTTGAAACCCACTAGGCCAAGAGCATTAAAACGAAACAAGATGAGAGAAGTCAATAAACATAGCTAAAGACAAAACTGGACAAAATAGAAGAGACAACGTGAACAGACATCCGATCAGGCAAACGCGCACACAACCACCCTGGAAAGGTCTAGCCATTGCCACTCAGTGGCATCCCCATCACCTAAAAAATGGTAGTGGCTTCTCCCCACCCCAGTGTGCCAACATTCAACATTCTGGTGATCTCGTTAAGTGTTATTTGGTCCAATCTGAAGAAGGTCTTTTTTTAACTAAAACTGGTCTGATGAAATTACGCCTCAGGAATATGGAGATGAAATTTTCTATTTTTAGTTTTGTAATAGGATCCGGAATTTTGCATATACGTTGCCATCTGAATAAAAGCTATTAAATACGGATGCCTTTTTACTTACCAAGGCATTCCCTTGCCACTCATCTTTATTTTTAATGACTTGATTATAGTTTTCTCATGGCGTGTGGACCTGTCCAGTCAATTGTGTGTTTCAGTGCCCTTTGGTAAGGAGACTGTACTCACCACACACACAGATACATATAATTCACAACAGCTGAGAAAGCTTGAGGGAGCTGGGAAACACAAAACACTAAGAACAATGCAAAACAAATAGATTACTGCTGCATATCACTTCAAGTTTTTTAAGGGAAAAAAAAAAAAAACAAAAAAAAAAAACACCTAAAAATAAATGCATCATTCAAAGTATTTTTTAAAAGACAGAAATGTGTACTTCATGAAGACTGGCATTAACTTCCTTCCCAGCAGTCTTTCAAGATGTTTTTGCTTCCCCTTAATTGTGACTCAATAGTGATCAGATTGAGAGACATGTTCCTCAAAAAGTTATGGCCCAAGGCCCTGCATTCACATCTACCTAACATCACATGCACAGGTTGGATGTAATTTAGATGCTCCAGTTTTGTTAACTGTTAATAGCACAGAATTACACAGTTTTGCACAGCATCACATGTAATGACATATATGCTATGTGCAATCAGGTATAAAAACTGTATCTGCAGCATGGTTGAGCAGATAGGTGTCAGGAACGTGGTAGAAGCCGATTTTCATGAGTGCACCTGTGCCAGAGTCCTCTACCTGTCACTGTGCTGTGAAAGTATTGCAGTAGGTGGAGTTTCATATGCCGCTGTTTATAAATTAGCTTTTATTTCCATAATTTAAGCTGGCACACTGAATTAGGGGAGCATGGCAGCTGTATAAAAATCCTGATTAAAAGATCAAAGTAGAGGATCTCAAGTGAATTTTTAATCTCTAAAATTAAATTCACGTGGCTCCCATGACTGGAGAAGAATTATTGCCCCTAATGCCCCAACGTGCAATAGTCTGTGTGAATCAGTAATTCACATCCTTTAAAATAATTATTGCTTAAGCAAGCCATTTAGAGTAGATATGGGCTATGTGGCTGGATAGAAACACACTCAAAAAGTTAGACTAGACGGGAACAAGCCTTTCATTTCACTGATAAACCTACATAAATACACGATCGGAAGGGGCACAGGTTCATAGCAGCTAACACCCTAAACCAACTCTGAAGCATCAAGACGTGGTTTCTTACTAAAACGCGGTTTTTTGTATTTTCCTCTTAAAATTAAGGCAATGAAATGGCTACAGTTCCTAAGGTTATTTTTATGGAACAAAAATATACATGTATATATTCCTCAAGTTCAGGCATCAGAGTATGACTAGTGACTTGTATTACACAAAACCTGCAACACTGGGTTGATGTAAGAGAGAGAGAAAGAAAAGAAAGAGAGAGACACAGAGAGAGAGAAAAAGCAAGAAAGGCAAGAAAGCAAGCAGACAAGCAAGAAAGCAAGCTAAGAAAAAGCCAACAAACCCCTGGTGATGTTTTCCCTTCCTGCTGAATTACAAACCTAATCATCAAAGGGAGGAAAAGCTAGAAAGCACAAAACCTCTTAAGAGTTTTCAATTGATTTCAAACTTTTGGGGTGATGGAAGGGAGAAGCTTCTTAACATGAAGACTCCTGGGCCCAACAACCAGACCTTCTGACTCTGAAGGTCTACAGTTCAGAAGGGCCTAAGAAGGGCCTAAGAAGCTACCTTTTTACCAGCTCCTCAAGTGATGCAGGCGCTCTATGGAGATTTTCAGAAACACTGCCTAGCATATATCCATTGAATATTTAATGACAAAAATTCTAAACTTTGGCTAGCCACCTATGTTAAAAGGAAAAAAGGCACTGCATATGTATTTCATGGTGCCCATATCTGTTTGCACATATATGGAATTTCATTTTGAAAATTTTAAATCACCATTCAAAATCTAAAAGACATATGTATGACAGATTGTGGCTAGCACTTAACAGCAAAAGCTGATTCCAAGTTGGCCTCTCCTGTTTCACTGCATTACATACATACATACATACATATCAAAGTTTCCGGCTCTCCAAAATCCAAAATGGCCAAATGAACTGAGGAACAGGACAAGACTCAAGTCAACTTTTAGCAATTCAGTGCACTTTGCAGAAAGGATCTAAATTAAGCATAAAGTTCTGTTGTTTATTTTACACAAAGGAGACCACCAACATTTGCCATAAATTCTTCTAAACTCTTTAAGAAGGCCATCTTCTGCTTCCGATCCAGCGTTGGAGGAGTGCTGCTTGCAGTGAGCTTGTTGAAGGCATCTGCTAATCTCTGGTAAATAACTGGGTCTTGCTGACTTGACAGTAATGTTTCGACCAGTTCAGAATATTCAGCCTATTGAAGAGATAAAGAATACATAAGAATATATCCTCCAAGAATATCATACAAGTAGATGATGTCAGTTACTGGATTGTGGGGCTCTAAAAGGCAGGGGCACATTTTAACAGTTAACATTTAGGGTAATTCAGCATTTAAGCACTACTGTTTCAAAACCTTTCCACGAGTTGATTCATCTATCATTTAAAAAAAGAAAAAAAATAAAAAAACAAAGAAAAAAGAAAAAAAAAATTCATCTCTCATTTATGGCAATGCTTCAAGACAGGTACTGTTTCTATTCTCATTCCAGAGGTGAAGGTTTCCACACTCAGTGAGGTGAAGTGATACGGCCCAGATCAAGCAAGAATCCAGGCAATTTGGCCCCAAGACCCATGTGATAATCAACTTCGTTATGCTGCCTCTTCAAAGCACATTATTCCTATTTATTTTGTGTATTACACATAATCTAAGTCTGCAATAGTTCCCCAGAGGTTAATAGAGACATCTTGTTCACACAGTTCTGAGGACAGCAATGTGCACAAAGAACAGGCAGCAGCCCTTTGGGAGGAGGGGGCAGAGAAATATATTCCAGGGTCTTCTCCAGGCAGAGCAGAGCACTTTGAAAGCTCCAAGCCAGCACTGTACTCAGCAGCCCTTAGAGAAAGGGCAGGAAAGGGGCTTTAGTCAATATAGGAATATGGAGAGTTTTCTTTTTTTTTTTTTTGAGACAGAGTCTTGCTCTGTCACCAGGCTGGAGTGCAGTGGCACAATCTTGGCTCACTGCAACCTCCGCCTCCTGGGTTCAAGTGATTCTTCCGCCTCAGCCTCCCAAGTAGCTGGGACCACAGGCGTGTGCCACCACACTCGGCTAGTTTTTTGTATTTTTAGTAGCGATGGGGTTTCACCACGTTGGCCAGAATGGTCTCAATCTCTTGACTTCATGATCCGCCCGCCTCAGCCTCCCAAATTGCTGGGATTACAGGCGTGAGCCACCGTGCCCGGCCGAGTTTTCTATTTTTAACACCCTTAAAGGAAAGTGAAAGAAGATATGGGCTTGAGGGAAATTCAACTAGGTCAAAGGTAAGCGCTCCTGAAAAAAGCTGGCCTGGCCAGCACAGTAGCTCAGGCCTTTAATGGCAGCACTTTGGGAGGCTGAGGAGGGAAGACTACTTAAGCTCAGTAATTTGAGATCAGCTTGGGCAACACAGTGAGACCCCATCTCTACAAAAAATTGAAAAATTAGGCAGTTGCGGTGGTGCACACCTATAGTCCCAGCTACCTGGGAGGCTGAGGTGAAATATCACTTGAGTCCAGGAGGCTGAGGCTGCACTGAGCCATGACTGCTCCACTGCACTCCAGCCTGGGCAACAGAGTGAGACCCTGTCTCACTGCAACCTCCACTTCCTTGGCTGAAGTGATCCTCGCATCTCAGCCTCCCAAGAGTTTGGGACTACAGGCATGTGCCACCATGCCTGGCTAATTTTTGTGTTTTTAGTAGAGACAAGGTTTTGCAATGTTGAACAGGCTGGTCTCAAGCTCCTGGCATCAAGCGATCCACCTGCTTTGGCCTCCCAAAGTGCAAAAATTACAGGCATGAGCCACTGCGTTTGGCCTGCTGTTGTTTTTCATTGGCTTCTTGGGATACCATGATAGACCAAAATGGTGAAACCAAATGTTAATTACATTTGGAAAAGACGGGTAAGGTGCAGCATCCCAACCCCCAAACCACGGAGCCATGGTGGCTCCCCTAACTGCCCTTTCCAAGGGACAGTCCTGTTCGCAGGGGACCAAGAATAATCTCCTAGTGTTTCCCTACTCATAAGACATGGTAGAAGTGGCCAGGCTTGGTGGCTCACACCTGTAATCCTAGGCACTTCGGGAGGCTGAGGCGGGTGGATCGCTTGAGTTCAAGAGTTCGATACAAGCCTGGGCAACATGGTGAAACTCCATCTCTACAAAAAACAAGCAGGTGTGGTGGTGCATGCCTGGAGTCCCAGCTACTCGGGGAGATGGGAGGATCGCTTGAAGCCAAGAGGCCAAGGCTGAAAGGAACAGCAATTGCACCACTATACTCCAGCCTCGGTGACAAAGTGAGACCTTGTCTCAAAAAAAAAAAAAAAAAAAAAAAAGGCAAGATAGTAGAGCCTCTGAGGCCAGGCAGCAGGTATCATACTCGCCATTCCTAAAACCTGCTCTTTTCTACACTGTGTAAATATGTTAAAAGAAAAAAGAGAGAGAGAGAAATAGAGAAGGAAGGAAAAAAAGAAGGAAGGAAAGGAGGGAGGAAGAGAGGGTGGAAGGGAGAGAGAGAAAAGAAGGGAAAAGGACAAGAAAGAAAGGGAAGGAAGGAAGGAAGGAAGGAAAGAGAAAAGAGAGAAGGGAGGGAGGGAGGAAAGAGAAAGAAGGAAAGGGAAGACGGGAAGGGGATAGGAGGGGAGGAAGAAAGGGAGGGGGGAGGAAGGGGGGAGGGGAGGGGAGGGGAGGGGAGAGGGGAGGGGGAGGGGAAGGGGAGGGGAGGGGAAGGAAGGGGAGGGGAGGGGAGGGGAAGGAAGGGGAGGGGAGGGGAGGGGAGGGGATGGGAGGGGAGGGGAGGGGAAGGAAGGGGAGGGGAGGGGAGGGGAGGGGAAGGAAGGGGAGGGGAGGGGAGGGGAGGGGAGGGGAGGGGAAGGAAGGGGAGGGGAGGGGAGGGGAGGGGAGGGAGAGAATCAGAATGTCATGGTTTAGATCTATGCAAGACTAGCAAGAAGTCTGCCTTGCGAGTGAGCAACAAGTCAGTCAGACGGCAGAAAAAGAGCACAGATGTGAGCACAGCTAACACCTGCAGGAAGTGGCAGCCTGCGGCACAGAGCGAGAAATGAAGTCCCAGAGCACCTTCAAACGGGGACACAGACGTTACGAGGAGTCTGGAGAAAGGAGGTCTCTAAGCAGCACGGAAGACCTTTTCTAAACCCTTTCTTAAAGATGGAAATAAAATGCCAAGTTTCTCTAGTCAATAACTTGGCCATGCTGGGAGGGAGGGAGGGGTGTGTGTGTGTGTGTGTGTGTGTGTGTGCGCACGCACGCGCACTCATGGGAGAGGCAGATGGGAAACTGAGGCAGTAAACTATTCAATATGGTCCTTCTCATAAACTTCACAGGCACCTATTCTATCAGAATTGGGGAGAGACGTAAGCTGGCCTAACTTTTATATTAACCCCATTATCAGTGATGCTTCAGAGTCTTTAGAAGACCAACAAAATGAAATAGTAGACTGTTTTTTATAACACAATATGCAATAACGTACTGTCTTCCACACTGTCTGAAGGCAGACTCTTCCCTGTCCGCCACTTTGTCTCCCTTACAAAACCGTGAGCTCCTCACACACCCATTATGTCTTCCTCATTCCTAGCACAGTTGTTTAAGGACAGGCTTGGGGCAGTGAGCATTGCAAAGGATGGTTCCTAATGGTGGAGATGAAAACCTAAATGCTTTGAACTGACAAACAGCTGTCAGATAAACCCAAACTGACGTGAAAGCTAATAAGAAATACTGCCTCGTTGAAACGAAACTGCACTGAGTCACAGATCCTATAAGAAAGCGAGAATTAATGACCCACCATCTATCTCAACAATCTTTTGCAAAACAGCATGAGAAGAGTCCCCGGAAGAGAGGCATGTCCAGTACCTGGTGCAAACACACCAACGTGTAGAAAGCTTCGCCAGCCGCAGTGGTCATCTCTGTGTTGTGCTTTTGCAAAACCAGCATATCAAAAACCAGCTGAAATTACATAAGACTTCTTAATAAAAACATAGGATGATCATATATCCTCCAGTCCCTCCCCAGTCCAAAAAAAAAAAAAAAAAAAAGAGAGAGAGGGTTGGTTGTTATTCTAGTTATTAAATCAATCTGAAAGTTTTCTTAATGTTTTAAAAAAACAAACAAGCACAGCTTACAGATATTGCTACTTGCTGTGGTATCTGAACAATCAAAAATACCAAATTCCCTCAAATATTACCACATCAATTTTCAAGAACACAAGAAATAGTGGATGAGAATGTGTCCATGAAGAGTTATCTCCAGAAAAAACAGTGAACAGGAAGTCACAGTTTCCCGTCCCCAAAAGAATGGAAGCATTTCCTCATTTGAATGCAGAATTATGTGCACCAACCATACTTCTAAAAATAGATGATTTTCTGACCTACCGCACAGACATCTTACCTTAAGAAAGTGCCGTGTTGCTAGAAAAAGTGGTGAATCTGTTTCTTGTGCTTTTGCACACTGTTCAGCTAATGGTGTCAAGGCCTCCAGGCAAAGCTGGCAAACCTCAGAACTCATTCTGATCATGAAGGTCAAAGAACAAACTAGATTGGATGTACTTGATTTATAAAAGATTTTAAAAAATTATAGCTAGTATTAAATGAATGAGTGTTTCTAGAAATGAATACAGATACACAAGTAGATTCGTGGGGAATATCTTCACTGAGTTATATAAGGAAAGATTTCCAGTGTTTTTCAGATGCCCTGTAAGGGTTTTGGGTTTCAGTCCGCTGATGTATTCCTTGTTTCAGTTTACAATACATACAACTTATTAAAAAGTCGTATTATTCTCTACAATCAGACCTAAGACCAAAGACCCAGCTCAGCATTATTAATGGGACCCTGATGAAGGAGTGACTATGGAACCAGGGACCCAATGCCTCAGAGACCTGTGAAAGGAGAACAGGATGAGGCTAACTAACAAAAGAAACACAGAAATAGAGCAGTTATAGAGGTGACAGAGTTGGTTTCCTTTTTTGTTTTTGAGACAGAGTTTCACTCATCACCCCGGCTGGAGTGCAATGGTGTGATCTTGGCTCCCTGCAACCTCTGCCTCCCAGGTTCAAGTGATTCTCCTGCCTTAGCCTCTGGAGTGGCTGGGATTACAGGTGCCCACTACCACACCCAGCTAATTTTTTATATTTTTAGTAGAGACGGGGTTTCACCATGTTGGCCAGGCTGGTCTTAAACTCCTGACCTCAGGTGATCCACCCACCTCGGTCACCCAAAGTGCTGGGATTACAGGCGTAAGTCACCACACCCAGCCCAGGGTTTTTTTTTTTTTAAGAAATAAAACTGAATCACAAAAGAAAAATGAAAACTTAAAAAGCTTTACAGGAAGATCTTTTTCCCCAAGGGACAAGTAACAATGATGTTCATTTAAAGGATATGATGTCATTCCTAATTCTAGGGAGTACATCAGACTTTTAAACAGATCTTCAGGAAGCTGTGGTATTTTTTCAGGAAAAATCTCACAGATAAACGTGATTAATTTGTAGTACTGATTACAAAGGGTTGGAAACTGAAAAAGAAATATTAAATATTTAGATTCTCATTAGTATCCAATTTTTATTTTCATCAATGCAATAAAATTATGTAACTGACAAGCTTCTAAATATAATGATTTCTTTAAAGCATGTGCAAGATATAGAAAACATGAAGACCAAATTAGATGTAAAAACAGGTTACAATAAAGGGCATATTTTAGTAACTATTATGAAACAAAGTAATAGACAGTAGAAACAATTATCTTCTAGATAGTTAATAAAAGCTAAGGTCAATTCCAGATATTCTGTGTTTACCCTGAATAAGTAAACAAGGCAGCCAGATTTTAAATTATTAAATAGTTTGGGAGTAAAACCTTTTTGTAAATGTATTTCCATTCAAGCATGTTGGAAAAATACAAGAAGGTAATGCAAACCGTTAAGACTATGTACAGAGCATAGTATTCAGTCTTCACGCTTCCAGAAACATTTCTCCACCTGTACTATCCTGGAGAACTGAGGTAAAATTAGGTAGTCTGGTTTAACCACACTTAACAAAAACACACACAGAAATGTTTGATGGCTTATTTGTTCAAACAAACCCTAAATGCAAATCAGTAGAGAGAGCTGACTAAACTTCCTCATCCCACTAGCTGCTGTGTGAATACCAGGGGTCATCAGCATTGTTTCCAATTGTTAGAAGCATTCTCAAGGACAGAAGCACACGGTTAGATCCTGCTATGCTGGCAATCTAACAGCACTCATATTCTTCTCATACTCACCTTCTGGGCACTTCTCAGCCTCTTCTACTCTCTTACTTCCTGCTACTCTCCTTCCTGGTCTTTCTCGCGTGTGTGTGCGTGTGTGTGCCTGTGTGCATGCGTGCACACACACGCACACACACACGCACACACACAAACTCCTCCTTTCCACCCACGTCCTCATCCCCACCCTTATCCTGCTATGGCAACTCATAAGAAGAGACCTCCCTCCTCTACCATACTTATGGAAGGCAGAAAAAAGTTGCCTGACCGCCAGCACACCCTCAATATTAAGCGGTAAAACCAAGGCATAATCTAGTCAGAATGTGCAAAAACTTTAAAACAGCATCAGTCTTGGATGCTTACCATCCCAGTACCTCTTGGAAAATGCCTTCCTTTGCTCAATCCCTCAACCTGAGAATGTTCAGAAAGTATCAGAGGAAAACACTGAAACACAGCTGACTTTATTCCCTTAGTGACAAATTATGAGCTAATCAAAACTGCTAACAGAATGTAGTTTCTAAAAGGACAGGCTTCTTTCTGTAGCACTCCCTGACAAAGCGAGTCACTAATGTGTGGGTACTTGCAGGACTCTGGGGCAGGAACAGAGACTGAGTAAAGGCCCATGTTACTGAGAAGCATGCACAAGTAACCCTTAACGAAAGTGCAAAAATTGCAACTTCATGTGCACTTAACAGATATAACCACTCAATTAAATCACAGATATATTCTTGTCTAAAGTATCTTTGAACATCAAGTACATATAGTTGTATGTTCACATGCAATTACATTAATTACCTTCAAGAGATCCTGTGACATCAAGGGCAGAATTAGGTTTACTCCATACAACACAACATCTGCTGCCGACACAGACCTGTTTGCTGCTTGACCTGGCTCGTGTCCTCTAAACACTTCATCTATTAAAATAAAAGGATCCAGGCTTATGGTGGTAACATCAATCAATCTTCAAAGTGTGTATTCTACCCTTATGAAAATAAATTCACCCCTAGAGCCTAAATAAATCAATGAGTGAATAACAGAGAATCTGATCTCGTCCTGCCCCATCTCTGGCAAGGAGATGGAGGGGACAGCAAATCCAGGGGTGAAAAAAAGATCTGAGACCCCCAACCCTGTGTCATCCTTTTGAGTTTTATTGGGGGATATAAGTACTTGATGCAGAAGTGTTGGGGAGGCTAAAGGGAGGGGACAGTCTAGAAATAAAACTAATAATCAATGTTTTGAAACATAAAATCTACTCTACTGACATACTAGCCATAATATGAATTAAATAAGTTCTATAGAAATATCCACTTGATTTCAATGTGTAAAATATTTCTAAGCTTAAAAGGAATGTGGGGAAATATAGAAATTAAAATGTTACATAAAAAAGTAGTTTACAAAACAACAACCAATAGACAAAGGGTTATTATTAATACATATGAATTATATCCACATATTAATTAATGAAAATACTAAGACCTAAACAGATAAACATTTCTAAATAAACATTTATCAAAGCCTTGACTCTAAAGAAATACAGTCCATTCCAACTATTAATCAAGCAATACAAATTTTAGAAAGATACTTCTGATTCATTACATTAAAAATGATTCATAAATCGTAACATCTCATTGACGGTGAGGACAAAATGTGGTTAATTTCAAAAGCAACATATTAAGACCATTTTATCTATTAAGGATATAATCAAAAATTCAGACAGGCTTGCCCACAGAAATGATCACTGCTTCACCATTTGTAAGAGCAAAAAGTTAAATATTCCTGATGTCCAATATTAGGAAACAGGGTAAATTCTAAAATGTAGGATGCCACATAGCCATTAAAAATATCATCACAAATTCTAATGACAAGGGAAAGGTTAATGCTATGTTAATCAAAACATCGGAATATAAAATGGATTTTAGTTCACAGACTGCCAAGAGTAAAACTAAAACAAAACAAAACTTGTATTTAGAGCATGATCACAAAGAAAACAGCACAAAAATAACCACAAAAAGAAATTCCCAAAATGCAATTATACAATGACTCTGTATGGTATCCAAAAGTAAGCATGATTTTTCTGTCTCTATACTTACAATTTTTTTTTCTATTAAAGGCATGTATCTTAAAACAACAACAACAACAACAAGATCAAATGAGGGAGATGAGTCTACTTAAAATCCACTTGTTAAGCCTAATGCTGAGCCTCTCCCCTGGAATCTTTGTTCTAGCTGGAAGAATCTCATTTGTTCGAGCAGGAGTCACCAAATGTTCCCTGCACATCATACTGGTAAACCTGGATTCCACCCAAAGAACCCCAGCCTGCTCTGGAACAGAAGGCTAGCTGTAGAGCTTGATTCCCTGCTCCAGGTATTTGCCAACAAGATCGATCTCTCAGAACCTGCAAAGGCTGGCCCGTCATGGCTCCAACAGGGCTCAATTTCTATCCATGTGCTCTGCTAAGGAGTCAAGAAAGCAGGTCAGACACTATGTAAAAGAATGTCAGGGCCGGGCACAGTGGCTAACGCCTGTAATTCTAGCATTTTGGGAGGTGGGTGGATCACCTGAGGCCAGGAGTTAAAGACCAGCCTGGCCAACACAGCAAAACCCCATCTCTACTAAAAATACAAAAAATTAGCCGGGCCTGGTAGTGGGTGCCTGTAATCCCAGCTACTCGTGAGGCTGAGGCAGGAGAATCACTTAAACCCAGGAGGCAGGGGCTGCAGTGAGCTGAGACGGTGCCACTGGCACTCCAGTCTGGGCAACAAGAGTGAAACTCCATCTCAAAAAAAGAGAGAGACAGAGAGAGAATGTCAGATGCTGGTTTCCAGGTATGCTTTTAATATCTCACCTAGTCCATTAACTTTGTTTTATAATATTTAAAATATTTGATATTTTGTTTCAGCAATTATCCTTATTTTTAAAATAACAAAATATTTTCTTTTTTACCGTCATTTACCTTATCTGTCAATGCTGTTTCTTTATAATTTTCTACTTTGTCTTCATTTTTGTTTCTTCTGAATTTCAACCCTATATACTCGTTTTGTTTTTACCCTGATTTTGTTCTGTCTAGCTTGAGCATTAGAGCATCAATTTCTTTTATTAACCTTATTCTGAAATCTTTTCACTGCTTATATTTCAAAAATCTCTCCTTCAAATGCTTAGCTTTTCTTGTTTACAATTTGTTCTTAGAATGGCAGATAAGAGGCGTACAGCTGCACCATAAACCTGGGAGACGGTCTTCCAAATGCGTTTAATAGCCCCCCACCTTCAATATAAATGATCCAAAACATTTCACCCTTACCCCAAGAAGACTCCCAGGTCAAAAAATTTTCCAAACATATTAACGGCTATCCCTTATTGTTGGTATAAGTCCTACTGAGTCCAGGGCAAGTAGTACAGAAATTATGGTACATAAAGAAAAAGTCAGGCTGTGCTGCGGAAGGATCCTCCATCTAGACTCCAGTAAGGAAGCAGACAGGCAGTTCTGATTTCCTAAAGGGTCCTTCAAGGAAGGAAGAAGACAGAAGATTCTACAAACTGGCCAGAGCCTCACCATATTACCTCTAAATGTTTACTTCTATTATAATCCTTCCTTTTTCAGTAGGATTATAGAATATTCTGGAAATGTGGACTGTCCCTTCTCCTTTTTCTTATTATATGCTGGCCAGTGCTGGGATCTAATGTAATACTTAAGTAGGTAGGAAACATGAAGGGATCACTATTTTAGGAAAATTATTCTGAAAATAAGACAAATCTGGTAGTATGTCAGAAACAATGAAGAAACTTAGTCAACATATAGATTTCTAGAATTAGTAGGTCTTCGATGGGGCCTGACTTGGGGCATAGAATAAGAACCCATGAAAAAGAAGATACTATGTCTAGAAATGAGAAATTTGAAACAATGAGCTGATTTATGATACTCAAGGATAACCATGACAGTAAATCATCTAAACATATACATGTTTTAGCTTTGGGTCTTAACATTTAGTTAGAGATTCCTCTGGGTACAAGGCTCTTAACCTGGAACATTTATAGAAGAGTTTCCAAGAGTCCATGAACCAGCTAATACTGTATTAGTGAGAGGTTAAGAACGCTAGGCCCAGTGGCTCACACCTGTAATCCCAGCACTTTGGGAGGTTGGGGGAGGAGAACCATTTGAGCCTGAGGTCGAGGCTGCAATGAGTGATCATACCACTGCACTCTAGCCTGGATGACAGAGGGAGACCCTGCCTCTTAAAGCAATAACAAGGAGAGAAAAAAGTTTAAAACTCCAGGATTGTGCAGCACTGACCTGAAGTTAGAAAACTTGGGTGACAGGCTGGGCCTAAAAACAGACCAGAGAGAATTCACTGAGGAAGAATGAATTTGTGCAGTGCTTTTCAGACTATCTCACCTTAGTACCCCTAGTTAACAGCAAAAAAGAACAAAGAATAAACCTTCTGCATTGTGCGGTTGATGGTACCTAGCTCAGAGCAGGTACTAGAAAAACCGTGGTCCAAGAATAAAAAAAAGAAAAACCGTGGTCCAGTGAATAAGGAATATGAAAAAATTAAGGAAACAGAACAATCTCAAGGATTGGGATAAATAAGTCAAGCGGGACATTACAGCACCTAACTTAGAGATTCTTACAAGGAAGAAGTCAAAAATGTCTACTACCATACATGTCTGCACAATATATAATAGGAGAGTCTAGATATGATTCATTTTTTCTCTTATGAAACAACATCTATTTTGCTTGAAGGCAAAGTTGGCAGTGGGATAAGAGGGGAGTGAACTGTATAGCACTGAAACTATACAAATAAATGAGGATTTAAATTACTGATCAGGTTCTTGCCTGTAACAGTAACTACCTTTTACTTACTGATTGTCAGACACAATGCTAGGCACCAAAGACACTCTACAGCTGATCCTTCAATCATGATGAAAGGTATTTATTATCATACCCATTTGACAAGCTTGTAAAGGCACAGGTAGGCTAATCAACTGCCCCCACATCACGCTGTAGGTGAGCTACTAGGCTAGGTCCTCAAAGTGTGTAGCCTGTTAACTCTGAGACCAGTGCTTCCTACCCCAACAGGGCTTTCCAAGCTGTACTCTGGAAAGTGCTAGGGTGTGCTGGGGTGGCCACCTTGGGGGACATGGAGAAGTGATTAGTCAATACAGTGTAACTTTGAAGAGACTGGCATCTGGAGTCATAGGCTGGGATTTGAATCCCAGTCCTGGCTAAGTATCTGTGGCCAAGTGACTTAATCTCTCTGTGCTTCTGTTCCCTCATCCACAAAGTGAGAAGAACAATGGGATCGACTTCACATCATTGTAAGAGGTAAGAATAGTGCTTGGCATTTAGTAAGATCTCAATGAATAAGAGATACTCTTTCTATTATTCTTACAAGAGGAAAGCCAAGCAGAAAAGCCGCTGGTCCCCACCCTCACTTCAGCCACAGAGATCTTCTTTCATTTACGTATTCCATAAATTAGACTTCCTCATGTCACTTACGGAGAACAATCCTTTGCTTTAATAAAAAGGATGACAGCAACGATGTTTAAAAACCATCACGTCACACTTTACCTGTATCACTGAAGTCTATGAATTCTTTTGACAGCAGGTTAGTAAGAAGCTCCATAATGAGAAGCAGGTCTTGGTATTGCTCTTCTTCCGCTGTAACATCTATTCTTTGCCGCCCTAAATTATTCTTAGAATACACTTGCAACAAAGTAAGGCAGGCTTCATATAAGTTCATAGCTTTGGACTGCAAAAAAATGCATAAATTATGCTACTTGGTAGAATCTATTTGAGAAACAAACACTGACATTAAAGAAATTCAAAAATATAATCTAGATACATTGACTCCCAATTCCAAGAGTAGCAATAATTCTTGTTTTAAACTACATTAAAACAACAATAATTTCTAAAAAAGCATATATTAAGAAAACACTATTTTAAAAATATTACTCCTTTTCTAACAATAAAATTTTAGGACAAGAATTTATATTCAGGTGCAGCAAACCACCATAGCACACATATACCTACATAACAAACTGGAATGATTTTTCTTTTTTTTAGAAGAAATATTTTTTAAAATTTATATTCATTCAACACGACTTTCTCAGATTTTTTTTTTTTTTTTTTTTTTCTTTTTGAGTCTCTTCAGCCTCTTGATTAAACATTTTGGAAAGGTCTTTTGGAAGAATAAAAATATTATTTAGGATAACACTAATTAAATTTGAAGTAAAGATCTATTATTTTATTATAGCTTTGAAGAGTTTTAATCCTGAGGGGATAAAATTGGAAAGTGCTTACCTCTCCAAGATAGCATATCTGTTTATGTGCAACTTCAACAAAAACTTCTATAATGAGATTGACAGTCTCTGGGGTATTTTTGTAAACCTCCATCAACCCAATGCAATTGGTAAGGAAGTCCATTAAAAAATTAAACAGGATTGCTACGTTGTCAATCTGGGTAGCCTCAGCAATACCACACAGGGCCTCCAGTGTGGCAGTGATTTCCTGCTTGACCTCCTCTTGCTGACACATCTGCTGGAAGTTTTCTTGGTTTATCACTCTTAAGAATCGCTGCTGAAGTGGCTGAAGAACCTATAAAAATAAAGCGGGAATTTTAAAGTTCTGTTCACATGCTTTGTTTCTTCAGCTTAGATAAATACTCACTTTCCAAAACATTTCTAATGGTCAGAAGCACGACAAGCACATAACAAACAATACCGAAACCAGACTTCACACTCCCCATTTTGAGGGTCATCCTAACTTCTGGCTCATGTAAAGGACAGAACACCCAAGGTATGGAACGTAAATTTCTCCCTGCCACTCAAAGAATTCTGTCATTTCCCTCCATCTGTTCCCAAGTAATCGGCCAAAAAGGAAAAAACAAAGATAAACTTTATTTACAAAATCAGACAGCAAGCCACATTTGGCCCGCAGGCTGCAGCCTGCCGCCCTCTACAACATGAAGCCCAACAAAGCGCTCGCCTGTTTTTTCCTTTTTCCGTCATAACTTCAGATAATCAGTCCTGCCCTGTATATAAGAGTACTCATAGTCAAGAGGATAGTATCTTAATTCTACTTAAAGCTGTCCATATGATAATACAATTGTTTAAAATAAAAAATACTTAGTCAGTCTGGTTTCCCCTGGATTTGAAGTCACAAACAATGGCCTAATTCTATGACTGTGCCCCTTCTCAAACACTAAGGGCCCTCTACACACAAGGACTGCAGACTGGCAACCTACACACACACTGGCAACTCTTGGTCCTTGATTTAAAGCCCATTGAATGATGTGCCTATCGTTGTTGTTATGGGTCAAACTATGTACCTCAAAAATTCCTGTGTGGAAATCCAAACCACTGAAAGAAACCATACAAATAAATGAGGTTTAAATTACTGATCAGGTTCTTGCCTGTAACAGTAACTACCTTTTACTTACTGATATGTTTATGTCTCCAGACACTTTTATGGCAACGCATAGATAAAGAAACTACAAGTTACACAGAAGGATGTAATCAAAATAGAAGGTACCGTTACCTCTGTCCAGTACTGCTGTTTGGTTTCCGTGTCCATATGTGCAAAACCTCCTAAGACTAGAGCCTTCATCAATGTCCTCTGCACAGGACTTGACAAGAAATTAAGAGGTGGGCTTCGGCTTGCAAACTGCTTAGCTAAGTTCCACCAGTTCTCACACTGAATTACTAAGTTTGCCCTGCAGGTAGAAATAACAAAACATAAGATGTATTACTTATTTTTTCATATATATATATATATATATATATATATATATGAAGAAAACGAAAATCAAAAATAACCAGATTTAATTAATTTTTAAAGCAAAGTACAGTAAACTTGGTATAGACTTTGAGTCACACAGGCTTACATTCAAATCACACTAGTTGTTTGGCAATGTAAAATTATTTAATCTCTATCAATCATCACTTCTCTACAATCTGCAAAACAGGAATAACAACAGTCTCATGGCTGAGACTGATATAGAATAGTACATAGTAAATTATAAGAATTCAATAAATCAGCCAATCACAATGGTAATAATAACAATGATATTCCTATATAGTAAGAACAAGGCAGCACTAAAAATTTTACTTTCTAAAATTAAATTTTAAATATCAGTATTTGATTTTTAAAATTGGGATAAGATGGCCAAAAATTCAGATGAGCATATTCCACATAAAAGTGTCTGTAACACTACAAATTACTAACGTGTTATTCATAGGGCTTTGTTGCCAAATCCCGAAGGAGTCAATGCAATACTCAATTATAAGATGGGAAAGCTCCATTTGCATTTGTAATAATAGTGTGACATATTTTTTTAAATGCACTACTCCAAAAATGTATGCTCTATCTGGAATTGAGACTATGTAACCATTTGCCAGTTGAAAGGACTACACTAAAAAGTGAAAAAGAATTTCTCAACCACACACATACACACACAGTCAGCCTCCAACAACGGGCTAACCTTTCTCTTCTTTCCACCAAAGTGACAAGGAGCTGCACAGTGTCATTTGCAAGGTCCTGCTCACTACTCCAGACTGAGAGGTTACTGATGACTTTTTGTAAGAGGTAGCCAATTATCCACTGAGAACCCTCTGTATCTGCTCCAAATGCCGTACTGAATGGCAGACTTATCTTAAGAGAGGAAACAAATTGTTTAAGGTAAGCAAGAAAGATCAACTGAAGAAATCCAGAGAAAAATCAAAGTGAAATTACTATCTAATCGAATAAAGTAGTGCTTACTTCACATGAACTTTATGCATGTAACATCTAACATTTCCATAGGTCAAAAAAAAAAAAAAAAGACATCCTCAATCCGCTCACGTTTTCCAGTGTGATTTTCCCACCAACTTCTATTATTCCCAACGCATTAAAAAACTAACATAATATTTAAACCAAATACAAAAAAGCATAATCTATTCCCAAATAATAATCTGTTATCTTCAACAGTGGTTAAAATAAACTAAATCAAATGATATGCCCTAAAAAGCACATTAAAACAGCATTCCAGTCACATAGTTCTCTTCAATGCGGAAAATGTTAAACTGCTCTTAAACAGTTACATTTTGACAAGAAAACCACCAAGAGAAATGTTCCTGCTTCTATAACTGCCATCATCATAAATCCAAATGAAGTTTTAACAGTTTTACATTCTGACCTGTTCATACAGTTTTTCATCCACCAGGAGATAAGTCTTCGCCCAGCGTTTTAAAAACCAAACAATATCTTTGCCCATCTGGGGACTTAGTAGGTGAGTGAGATCTGCTCTTATTGCTCGAGATTCAACTTCTGAGACTCTGAGAATGGCAGACAACAGCCTGTAGGTATAAAACAGAAGTCGTTTATTCTTTCATTTATTTAGTGGTCGTCCAACCATATTTTTTTTCCCACAAAAGTCCTTTTTCGTCTTTAAAGTATCTGGATTTAGGTCAGGCTATACTTGAAAATTTCATCAGTAGAGTTTTAGACAAGTGTCCCATATTATTTCTGATCTTTCACAGAGTAGGAGATAGGATAAAGAAAAGGAAGAGTCAATACTAGAGACATCTTTCTGCCGAAGTTGTAAACACATGTGAGAATCTCAGCATTACTAGCTAAAGAGAATTTCAGAGTCAAAATTTTCAGATTTTCAGGAGCAATCCATCAAATTAAATCATCAGAGCACATGCCAAATTCTTTTAACTTGTGCTACTTAGCATTACTACTTAAAACTACCCTGGTTTTTTTATATCATGGTCAGGTTACAGTACAAGATCTGGGAGTTATCTAGAAAGTTTTGAGTATTGAGCCGTGTCTAAATCTGATACTTCCTGGTCAATTTGAGTCTTCACGATATTTTTAAATAAAACTCTTGCTAGAAAGATTACCTGTGTAAGCACACATAGTGTCCTTTCCTACACTACAAAATTCATATGGCTGTGTGGTGTTAAGCACATAGCATGACATGCAGACAAGCAGAAATGCCTTTTTGGCGAGGGCACATAATCAGATATGATGTATATTTAACTTGACTTTAGCTAAAAGGCAAGCAAGGAAAGGATGTAATAGAAAGAACACATTATACACCAATGAATATTAGTGCTGAGAAAAGGATTCTAATCACTCAAGTTTGGCTTACGCTCCTTTCCTGGTGCTCTCAGGAAGCCTGAAATGATCTTAGCATGAGATCATACAAACATGTGTCAGTTCTTTACCCCATTGGATGGCCCACTGTCACTGCCCTCATCTTCCTGCGGCCTCCCCGGGGTCACTGCCCTTCCTTCCCTCATCTAGCCATCTGCTTCCTCCTTCCCAGTCTTTATGGCAGCATCCTCTTCTCCTGATCTTCTTCTTGAAATCAGGAGGTTTTAAGGTTCCACCCCAGAATCTCTTCTTTTTCTTCTTTTTGAGACAGAGCTGTTCTCTCGCCCAGGCTGGAGTATAACCCAGGTACAATCACGGCTTACTGCAGCCTTAACTTTTTGGGTTCAAGGGATCCTCCTGCCTGAGTCTCCCAAGTAGCTGGGACTACAGGCACTCACCACCACACGACGCTGATTTTAAAAATTTTTGTAAAGCCAGGGTTTCACCATGTTGCCCAGGCTGGTCTTGAACTGCTGAGCTCAAGCAATCCTCCCACTTTGGCCTAAACAAGTGTTGGGATTACAGGCATGAGCCGCCAATGCCCTGCCTTCTTTACTGTCTGCACACTTCCTATACCACCAGCATTCAAACTTAAAAAAAAAAAAAATTTAGGGGGTCTATGAACAACAGCAAAACAAAACCCCAACAATCTCACAATACATTAATACATTTAAGTTGTAGATAGGTCCAACTCTCTGGTAAGAGTAAATCATTTTAAATATCTAATTCCAGCCTAACAATATTTGAAATAAAATGGTTGCATTAACACTTTAAATTTATGCACTGGAGTTTTATTAACATAATGTTCTGATATCCAATATCATCCATTAAAAATATAAAACATAAAAATATAAAAAATATAAAAAAATTTTTATTTCAACTTCATTTCCCCATAGAACATCATCCTACTGTAATAAATTTTTATGTTCCAGCATTTTATTCATCATACAACATACTTTGATACAAATGTCCACATACTGCAAGATAATTTTTAATCATTTTCAATGATCACAAGACCGTAAGTGTTTAAAAATGTCTTCAGGATTGAGTTATCATTATGATACTTAAAAACTACACAATTGAGCAAAACAGTATAAATTTAAATAAATTATTAAACACAAATAATTAAACACAAAAATAAAAGTCTATCTATCTCTTAATGTAATGAACTTAGTAGGATTTGTTCCCCACTTAGTTCATGTATCTTTGAATGAACATTACCCATTGCCACAAGAGTGAGTTGAGCATTTGATGCCTATTTTTCCTTTTAATCTATATAAGTACTGAGAAAACTTCATGAGTAGAACCTATTTTTAAAATAGCAGAGTCACCCAATTATCTGAATTTCTTCCAAGTTATATGCCAAAAATCATAGAGATCCACCAACAAAAATTATTTTTAATCATCTCTTAGTTGACGTGATCAGGTACCCTTCATGTTATTTAATGCAAAGGTCTGAAACCTGCTAACTGTCCACTCACTAGTGACTTAGTCACTTACTCTGTCAATGCCACATCGTCTGCAACTGTCCCTCTCCTCTGTAGGGTTTTACACGCCTGCCAATCTACATGTTCAGAGGTAGGAGTGAGAGCTTTGGCCTTTCTTTTGTAAAGTGGAAGAAACTCAATGAAAGAGCCACTCGGCCTGAGTCAGCCAGGTCCAGGGGAGTTGCCCAGGGGCTTTCTTCTACTTCAGAAATACCTCTTATGACCCAAGAGCCTTTCTCCATTTTCACTCCACGACTACAAAAGAACATGCTTCCTAACTTGCCTTGTTCCCCTTTAAATTGATCACCCATGCAACAGCAACTGTAAAACAATCTGATCACTTCACTTCTCTACTTAAATCCTTGTCAGCATTTTTACTCCCACTTCATCAGCCCCACTCACAGCACCCTCCCTGCCTCGTCCACCCATGAAGGCCATCGTCCTACCCTCCTGGGTTACACACCAGCCACACCTTACGTTCCTCTCACTTGAGCAGGGCTCTCTTACTGTCAGAGGCATCGAACCAGACAGAATCCAACTTGGGTGAGGGCTAGAAAATGGAAGCTGGGACTTAACGGGCTGTATTCCCAAAAAGTGAGGCATTCCCTAGTCTCTAGAAGTTTAGAGTTAAAGGAACAAATCAATAATGTTTACTAAACAGACCCAGACTTGGGAATGTCCAGATAGTCCAACATCTGGAGAACAAAGGCATTCCTAATTTTGCTTTAGAGATAATAATATTGAGTCTTGCAAAATACAGTAATTAAGAAAACGAATCCTGTATCACAGACCCTTGTAGCAGAGCATCTCTCCATGATCTTTTCTGATCCTATATACATATATATACAGCATTGTGCCTATGGTGGACGCGTTCCTCCTCTTTTGGGAACTTCCTGCTCTATGGAGTAGCCATTCTTTTATTCCTTTACTTTCTTAATAAATTTGCTTTCACTTTATAGACTCACCCTGAATTCTTTCTTGCGCAAGATCCAAGAACCCTCACTTGGGGTCTGGATTGGGACCCCTTTAGTGTAACATTACTGCTTATGCTAGTGTCACTGCCTGAAATACTCTTCTGCTTCAAGAAGCCCCTCTGGCTCTCCTCTGCCCATATATCAGGGGAACCAGAAGCTCCTGTAACACCCTTACACACTTCTAACTGTATCCTCAGATCCTGGCACGCAGGGGAGTTGAAGATTCAACTGATAGAAACATCAGAATATTTTTAAATTGTTGATATTCCAAGATTAATATCCCATTCCTACTTCAATTTCTTAAAGCACTGTACCTACAAATATATTCCAGACAGCACTCAGTTTCTTATATTTTCCAAGTCAATCCTTAATTACATTTGTATGTCATAAATCAAAAGTGAGCACAAAAAAAATCAAACAGAGCTTTCCTTAACTTCTTACAACCTCCAGTATATTCACTCCGAGCCACCATCATCTTTCTCTTAGATTACTGCAATTTGTCTCCTAACTGGTCTCCTGGCTTCCAACATTTACTCTTGAGTTTTTGGGGTTTGTTTTTTTGTTTGAGACAGGGTCTCACTCTGTTGTCCAGGCTGAAGTGCAACGGTGCCATCTCAGCTCATTGCAACCTCCACCTGCCGGGTTCAAGTGATTACTGTGCCTCAGCCTCCAGAGTAGCTGGGACTACAGGAGGTGAGCACCATCATGCCTGGCTACATTTTTGTATTTAGTACAGATGGGGTTTCACCATGTTCCCCAGGCTGGTCTCAAACTCCTGACCTCATGAGCCGGCCACCTTGACCTCCCAAAGTGCTGGGTTATAGGTGTGCGCCATCACACACAGCCTCCATCCTTTACTCAATGCAGCAGAGGAAATTTCTTAACATGTAAGTTACTCTTCTGCTCAAAACCCTACAATGGCATGGCGCTTCATTCAGAACAAAAGCCAAAGACGACACAAAGGCCTAAGACCTTATCTATTTTCCTAACTCCATCTCCTACAAAATTCCACCTCACTCTGCTCAACCCACCACGGTATTCTTGCTGTTCATGAACACGCCAAGCAGGCCCAGGGCCTTTGCATTCACTGTTTATTTTGCTTGGAATGCTCTCCCCCCAGACACCTTCATGGCCTCCCTTACCAACCTCACGTCTCTGCTCCCAAGTCACTTTCTAAATGAAGCCAACACTGATCACACTAATAAGAACTACGATAATCCCTACTGACACTCTCACCCTAGCTTTTCACCTGTCACATTTGCTGTCTTCTAACATACGCATAGAGCTCTTTTACAAAGAGCTCTAAAAGAGAAGTGACTTTTATCTGCTTTGTTCAAATACCCAGGCTGCCTGTTACGTAGTCACTAGTCAATTATTTCTCAGATGATACCTGTTTTAAGAAATATGAGCTGCTTTTTTAGTGACACAAGAAATGCTTCTACCATATGCTTTTAAATTTCATATTAATTCTTTGGATTAAAAACATGGTGACTTTGTATTTTTTTTTATTCCAATCCTCCATAGTCTGTGCTCTCAAATACCAAAATGTTTCGCTCCCACACTAACACCTGGGACTGACAAAAATTGAAAAAGCAGTTAAAATACAAGGAAAACATTCCTGATGGTACTGCCCAAGCAAAAAATATAACAATATATAACATGACAGCACCCTGAAATGAAGTGCTTTTTAAATTAACATTCACCACCAACCAAACCAGAGCAAAGCACTGATTTCCAGAGACACTAAATCGAATGACTACGGTAATCCTAAAAGGAAGACATCATTTTTTCAATAAAATATGATTTTATTTCACACAAGAGAATGCAAGAATAAAGGAAATAAATTCCCCAACATTTCCTCGGCATCAGCTTAATATTTCAACTATTTTTTTAAAAATCACATTTTCTATAGCATGTTTGAATGATATTCATATATTTCTGCATATGAGAAAGAATAAAGGGGACAGCATCCTGTTTGACAGAAGTAACTGGTTTTGCAGCTGACAAAAACCAATGTTATTATCATAAATGATGTCTCTGCTTGCAACCTAAATTTAAAATAAAGTTAAAGATACTAAAATTTTAAATGTTTTCAAATCCACTTTTAGAAACTTTTTTTTTTTTTGAGATGGAGTCTCGCTCTGTCACCAGGCTGGAATGCATTGGCCCGATCTCGGCTCACTGCAACCTCCGCCTCCTGGGTTCAGGCAATTCTCCTGCCTCAGCCTCCTGAGTAGCTGGGACTACAGGCACGTGCCACCATGCCCAGCTAATTTTTCTATTTTTCGTAGAGACAGCAGGGTTTCACAATATTGGCCAGGATAGTCTCCATCTCTTGACCTCGTGATCTGCCTGCCTCAGCCTCCCAAAGTGTGGGAACTACAGGCGTGAGCCACAGTGCCCAGCAAGAACATTTTTAATACAGTGTACGCCTCCTTATTTTCACCATTGAGAATTAACAAAAATTTTGCCATTACTATTAGGAAGATTAAAGTGAATCATCTCATTTGAGGTACTCTCCTGTCTTGTAACAGGGCCCTTAACTTTCACATTTAGAATAAAGATTTCCATTTTGTGATATATGAATTATCTATCATCTATCATTTTCCGTAAGAAAGCCACCGAAACGTCGTTTTAGTTTTAATGAAGTAATACTTGTTAAAGTTCATCTGGTTCCCTTCATTTAGGGGGCCTGTATACACGAGTATTGCTCTCTGATAGACAGGCGTTATGTTCAATACTACATTCAGTGTCCCTTCCAAGTCTCGTTGTATCCGAAATTATTTGACATTTGTTTTCTTCAGCACTGGGTATAGCTGTCAACTCTCACTAGAGTGCCATTGCCTAAATATACTGAGTACTTGCCATCCTTGTGTATTTCAAGGCTTCTCCAAGTTTTCATTTTTTTCATGTATCAGACTTACAACCTGCCTATCACTCCAGTCATCTACCCATCAACTCAGAATTTATAAAACAGTATAAAAATTACAAGAGCACAGCTATAGAGTTTATATTACCTAATCACAGAATCTGTTCTGTTGTACCCTGGGATGGAAGAAGCCTTTTCTCCTGGAGATCCCAAAATTTGAAGTGTTGTATTAATGTCAACTTCAGATGAATGCTTAATGGAATATTCCATTATTTCTGGAGGTATTAGCGGAGTCTCTCCCTGAGTATCATCAGCTAAGAGGTAGCCTTCAGTTTAAAAAAAATTAAAAATGAACACTTAACAAATCTACATTTATCAAATTGTACTATAAATGTTTTCAGTTTTATTTGATTTATATACATCATATAAATTGATGTAAAAGTAAATTATAAATGTTAACCTGTTAATTTCAAATTTATGTGAAAAAACTTTCTACGTCTCAGATAAATAACCCTCAAAAATACAGAAAAGAACAAATGTTTTATTCACCAATTTTATAATTCATAGGGGCTTTTTAATCTACTATCTTAAGTAATTTTCAGTACTATATTCTGTAAAGTTAATAAAAAATTCTGCTACTATCTATATTAGAAGCCAATATTAGAGAATTCATTTTCAGAAGTCAAGATTGTTTTCCTCATCATTTAAAATATGGAAACACTAATAGTATGGTGGTCAAGAAAGACGATCCTAAGAGTCAGACTGCCTAGATTTACATTCTGGCTCTGAAAATTAACAGCACTGTGACAATGGGCTAGTTTCTTATACTCTCAAAGACTCAGCTGCTTCATCTATTCGTTGGGGATAAGGACGATGATGACGGTAATAGTAAAAATGCCGAGCAACACTAATTCATTGGGTAGAATGAGATCTATAAAAGATTTGGTATGCAATAGGCACCGCATACATGTTAGCCAGTATTTTTTAAAAAATGCATCCAAGTTCTATGACAGAAAATAGCTCTATCCAGATTTTATCCAATATTATATATAAACTATTGTTTTTAATATTGAAGCTTCTTTTAAGGCTTAAACTGCTCAGTTGGCAATTACGTTTTAAAAAGAAACCACCAACCAACCTGTAACTAAAATAAGCCAGTGAATATCTTCATAGAGATCATCAAGCATTTTGTTGTCAATAGTGCTTGAACCCGGTGAAGCAAGTAATTGCTGCTGATGTTGTTGTAATTGACCATGGAGCCTTGTTACTCTTTCTTCTAATAAACTAAAAGAGGAGAAAACAGTGGCTTCATAAAGTTCAATAAGCAAAGACATGGATCAACTTAAAAATTCCATGTATTAGACAACACGAATTAAATGTTAGCATAAAAACACATATACAAAAACATTATAGTACACAACTGTTCTCGTAGCATTATAGGAATTATGATTTATTTTTTATAACATAGAATTAAAACACTGCTTTACAGACAATCAAGGTTTACAACAGGCATTTGAAAACTGGTTATTCCAAGTTTTTACTGATATGGGTCAAATCATTTCTCATACCATGTTTTCCATAATCTCTCTGCCATCTATGCTGTAGTGCCTGGGCTCCAAATGTCTAAGCCAAGGAACGCAATCATGAGTATGTTTCTGTCCATTTGTTCCAGTGTGCTGGGACACGGGGTGGGGGTGTTTAAAGTCTTTAAACACTTTAAGTGTTCTCCAGGGAATTGTGAATAGAGAGTGTTTGCTCCATGGGGTTTCTTTGGACTGTGTGTACCTTGTCAGAAGAGGTATACAGTGTTCTGCAGCAATTCTTCCTAGCATTCCTACACTGGCCAGTTGATCAGAAAACTGGTCTCGATCATCCTCTTGAAGTTCACTTATTTCTTCCTCCTCACGAGAGGCCACACCATTGGCAGTCTATTGCAAGAGAAAGAAATAAACAATGAGGAACTGCACTACCCACTCAACGTGCATGTCTGTGGCTCCATAGTTTAGCACTGCTTAGCAAAAGGAGAGCGGGACACAGCCAATCTTTGAGAACAGCCAACTTCTAACAATGCTGACAGCCATGGTAGTTCTCAAAAAGGGAACACATACAAGAGAAAGAAGTACAGGAATCACCCCAGGGTGATCAATACAACTAACTGCACACCCAAACCCACCTCCCACATGGGATAATTGAATTTCTGCCACTGAAACGACCGGACACCCATGGTCCAAATTCTTCATATCTCTTGACAGCTAGACAGAAAGAGGTGGGTAACTGAAAACTGAAAAGGAATGACTATACGCAGCCTGCCACATAATAAGAACTCAGAGAATAAGGACCACTTCTGCTCCTAGCAAATCTTCTGAGGGAACCCATCCTAAATTTCTGGTATTATATAATGTATAACACGGTGAATATAGCCTATGATGAAACAGACTGTTAATTACCATCTTGCTTAAAACTCACCAAATTCCTTGTGCCATCTGGAGCAGCTAGGTGGCACTGAATATAGGAATTGAAAACTTGAACTGCATGTTGCGTAAAAAAGCCTTTATGGAAATGTTTGTCATCTTGAACCAAAGTTAGCCAGGACTCCAACAATTTATCATATGCTTCCATGTACACCATGTCATCTTTATCAAGCTTAAAAAAAGAAAAAGAACATTCATAAAACAAATGTCCAGAGAACGATAATGGGCATTATAACAAGAGTCACATAAATACATATAAATAGTTTAAGTTTTTCCTTTAACAGAGCATTAATAAACTATCACCTATTAAAGAGAGATTTTATGGTACAGTTGATCCTCATTTTTTGTAGATTCCATATTTACAAATTCACTTCCTGGCTACAGTTTATTTGTAACCTCAAAATCAACACTCTTGGTACTTTCACGATCACTTGCAAATACCCATGCACATAGAGCCAAAAAATCTGAACCACCATATTTCCAGCTGACATTAAACAAAGTAGCACTCTCCCTTCTTGTTTCAGTCTTTGCTCTGTAAGATGAAACAGCAAAATGTTTCCAGAAAAAGAAGGAATCCCTAGGATCCATAATGTATTTTAGTTATATGAGTCCTAAGTACCCGTGAGCTAACTGCAAGACAGAATGAGTTTTATTCCATTTTCTTTAATGTAAATATCCTTTTTCTTCTCAGATCTCTAAGAAAGAATAGAAGACATAAAAACAAATCAATGGTTTTTTGGTTTTTGGTCGGGTTTTTTTTGAGACGGAGTTTCGCTCTGTCGTTCAGGCTGGAGTGCAGTGGTGCGATCTTGGCTCACTGCAACCTCCGCCTCCTGGGTTCAAGCAATTCTCCTGCCTCAGCCTCCTGAGTAACTGAGATTACAGGCACACACCACCATGGCTGGCTATTCTTTATATTTTTAGTAGAGACAGGGTTTCACCACGTTGGTCAGCCTGGTCTTGAACTCCTGACCTCAGGTGATCCACCCAACCCGGCCTCCCAAAGGGCTGGGATTACAGGCATGAGTCACCGCAACCAGCCACAAATCAATGTTTATAAATAGAACTGCACAAAAAAGAAACTCAAAAACTAACCCCTGATGGTATACTAAAGATTCCACTATTAGTCACTGTCTCCTGGTGAAGCTCTGTTTGGAAGAGATTTTTTTCTTTTATTTTACTTAAAATTTTGACAATTCCTCTAAGGAACATTCCTCTTTTTGCACGAGATCCTATTAAAGAACTGTGTCGCCGGGCGCGGTGGCTCAAGCCTGTAATCCCAGCACTTTGGGAGGCCGAGGCGGGTGGATCACGAGGTCCAGAGATCGAGACCAACCTGGTTAACATGGTGAAACCCCGTCTCTACTAAAAATACAAAAAATTAGCTGGGCATGGTGGCGCGTGCCTGTCATCCCAGCTACTCAGGAGGCTGAGGCAGGAGAATTGCCTGAACCCAGGAGGCGGAGGTTGCGGTGAGCCGAGATCGCGCCATTGCACTCCAGCCTGGGTAACAAGAGCGAAACTCCGTCTCAGAAAAAAGAAAAAAAAAAGAACTGTGTCTTCCTTCCCACGTCAAGACGTTCAAATCAGAAAATGAAAACCAACCTTATTACCTACAGATGAGCTTCCTCCTCATTTCTCCAGTTTTGACTTTCCACTCTGACTTAATCTGGGCTCTCTTTTGCAAGCTTTAAAGAATTATTTCACTTTCAAGGCTCTTTTCACAAGCCACCAGAAATCTTGTACAGAATAAAGAGGGTCAGGAAAGAATTAAGTCATCTCTAATATTGTTTCACTGCTATGCCCATTTACTTTTCTTCCTTCTCTCTGGGATATAGCCACTCTTCCAAAGCCTGCCAGATTGATGGAGGAGCAGCTCTGAAGAGTGGCCTAAAAGTAGAATGAGACACCACTGGAAGAGCTGATCAAAAAACAAACTTAAGCCCTTAAGAATGTCTACTAAACAGGAGAGTGACATGATGAGATACATATATGGTGTGTATATGTGTGTGCATATGTATGTTGCCCAGGCCAGTCCTAAACTCCCAGGCTCGGGCTGGGTGTGGTGGCTCATGCTTGTAATCCCAGCACTTTGAGAGGCTGAGTTTGGTGGATCACTTGAGGTCAGGAGTTAGAGACCAGCCTGGCCAAAATGGTGAGATTTAAAAATACAAAAAAAAAAAAAAAAAAAAAAAGCTGAGTGTGGTGGTGCTTGCCTGTAATCCCAGCTACTTGGGAGGCTGAGACAGGAGAATTGTTTGAACCCAGGAGGCAGAGGTTGTAGAGAGCCAAGATCATGCTACTACACTCCAGCCTGGGCAAAAGTGAGACTCTGTCTCAAAATAAAATAAAATAAAATAAAAAACTAAATAAAAATTCCCAGGCTCAGTGATCCTCCTGCCTCAGCCTCCAGAGCAGACTACAGGTGCACAGCATTGTGCCTAATTTTTCAATTTTCTTGAAGAGATGGGATCTTGCTATGTTGTCCAGGCTGGGGTCTTGAACTCCTGGACTCAAGTGATCCTCCTGTCTCAGCCTCCAAGTAGCCGGGATTACAGGCATGTGCCACTGTGCTTGGCCCACATGATGATTTATATATAAGCATGTTTGCTGCAGCATTACTTAAAATTGTGCAAATAAATTTACTAAACCATTTTTTCATTGTTTTACATTAAAACACAATTTTTGACACTAATTAAGCATATAAAAATGCTTATAGTATTAGGAAAAAGCAATGATTTTATCTTTAATTATAATTCATGCCTTAAAACCTGGAAAAAGATATCAAAACATTAAGAAAACAAGTTTCAGAAAGTGAAACACAAAGTGATTTGGTTTACTTCTAATTTTTAGTTTTTCAAAATTTCTTTAAAAACATTAACAAGTATTAAATTTGCATGATTATGAATAAAGGCATTATATGTGTGAATCAAGAGATGCCAAGGAAGATAGTCACCCAAATGATAACATGATATACGTGACAAGTGATTTTTGGAGAATTTTAACTTTATGTATTATTTGAATCACTTTTTCCAATACGCATACCATTTCACAACATTAAAACTGTATTTTGAAATATCAGTAAGAGGCCAAGAACAGTAGCTCACGTCTGTCATCCCAGCACTTTGGTAGGCTGGGGCCGGCAGATCACCTGAGTTTGGGAGTTTGAGACCAACCTGACCAACATGGAGAAACCCCGTCTCTACTAAAAATACAAAATTAGCCGGGCATGGTGGCTCATGCCTGTAATCCCAGCTACTTGGGAGGCTGAGGCAGAAGAATTGCTTGAACTCGGGAAGCGGAGGTTACAGTGAGCCAAGATTGTGCCATTGCACTCCAGCCTGGGCAACAAGAGCAAAACTCGGCCTCAAAATTAAAAAAAAAAAAAAAAAAAAAAATCAGTAAGAAAAGGGAAATCATAAACATAAAGAACAAAGTAAAAGTAAAAATGACCTGTAAATGGGCAAATTCCAAGAAAAATGTAAGTTGCCGGGCGCGGTGGCTCAAGCCTGTAATCCCAGCACTTTGGGAGGCTGAGGCGGGTGGATCACGAGGTCGAGAGATCAAGACCATCCTGGTCAACATGGTGAAACCCCATCTCTACTAAAAATACAAAAAAATTAGCTGGGCATGGTGGCATGTGCCTGTAATCTCAGCTACTCAGGAGGCTGAGGCAGGAGAATTGCTTGAACCCAGGAGGCGGAGGTTGCGGTGAGCCGAGATCGCGCCATTGCACTCCAGCCTGGGTAACAAGAGCGAAACTCCGTCTCAAAAAAAAAAAAAAAAAAGGTGTGCAAATAGAGAAGAAAAGAATTATATTTAAAAAAAAAAAAAAGAAAGAAAAATGTAAGTTGACAAATTAGACCAAGGGAAAAAAACAAGAAAAACCTGAGTACTCCTATAACTAATCATTTAAAATTTTTGAAGTTTCCCCCAGAGAGAAAATACCAGTCTCAGTAGATTTACAGGTGAGAGCTACTGAACTTGCAAGAACCAAACCAAAACAAAAAACAGCCCATCTTCTTCAAACTGATCCAGAGAAGAGGAAAAAGAGTAAGCAGGTAAGTGATATATGCAGCTGATAAAACTTGCCACCAAATGAATCTAGCAGTGAATTTAAAAATATGATACATCTCAATCAAGTTGGACTCGACTCAGAAATTCAGGGTAATTTTTAACATAAAAAATCTACACATGCAATTCACTACATCAACTGATTAAGCATTTAATAATATTTAATACTCTTTCCTGTTTTGTAAAAACCCTATTAGCAATTCCGATAAAATTTTACTTAACCAGAAAAGATGTCCTCTATCCTTAATCACCTGTATTCAGCACTATATAGTAAGAGAAAGCAAGAAATGTATTAACAAGAAAAGGAATTATATATTGTAGATGGAAAAGAAGCAAAATTGTCATTATTCATGGATGATATGATTATCCATAGAAAACCAAAGGTTTTAAAGGTTTATAAGAATCAGTAAGATTTGTGAAAGGTTAGCAAATATCAACTCAAATGTACTAATATCAAATGCATTTCTCTATGCCAGTAGCAATCTGAAAAATGAGATTTAAAAGATACTATTTATAATAGCAACAAAAACATAAGGTACTTAGGAAAAATATTTTCCTTTATTGATAGACAATTCATAAGACCTAAATTAATATAGAGAATACCACATTTATGGATAGGAAAAGTTACAGTAGAGATGTCTGCTCTTCATAAAGATTCACTATAATCCCAACCACAATCTAACATGATGAGCTCACAAAATTTATATGAAAGAATAAACACAGGCCGGGCGCGGTGGCTCAAGCCTGTAATCCCAGCACTTTGGGAGGCCGAGGCGGGTGGATCACAAGGTCAAGAGATCGAGACCATCTTGGTCAACATGGTGAAACCCCGTCTCTACTAAAAATAAAAAAAAAAAAAAAAAAAATAGCTGGGCATGGTGGTGCGTGCCTGTAATCCCAGCTACTCAGGAGGCTGAGGCAGGAGAATTGCCTGAACCCAGAAGGCGGAGGTTGCGGTGAGCCGAGATCGCGCCATTGCACTCCAGCCTGGGTAACAAGAGCGAAACTCCATCTCAAAAAAAAAAAAAAAAAAAAAAAAAAAAAAAAAAAAAAAAAAAAAAAAAAAGAATAAACACAAATATATCCAAGACTTTTTTG